AGACAGGCCACACATGTATAGAGAGATGCCACACATGTATGGAGAAAAGACAGGCCACACATGTATAGAGAGATGCCAGCCATGTATGGAGAAAAGACAGGCCACTCATGGCGAGATGCCAGCCATGGATGGAGAAAAGACAGGCCACACATGTATAGAGAGATGCCAGCCATGTATGGAGAAAAGACAGGCCACTCATGGCGAGATGCCAGCCATGGATGGAGAAAAGACAGGCCACACATGTATAGAGAGATGCCAGCCATGTATGGAGAAAAGACAGGCCACTCATGGCGAGATGCCAGCCATGGATGGAGAAAAGACAGGCCACACATGTATAGAGAGATGCCAGCCATGTATGGAGAAAAGACAGGCCACTCATGGCGAGATGCCAGCCATGGATGGAGAAAAGACAGGCCACACATGTATAGAGAGATGCCAGCCATGTATGGAGAAAAGACAGGCCACTCATGGCGAGATGCCAGCCATGGATGGAGAAAAGACAGGCCACACATGTATAGAGAGATGCCAGCCATGTATGGAGAAAAGACAGGCCACTCATGGCGAGATGCCAGCCATGGATGGAGAAAAGACAGGCCACACATGTATAGAGAGATGCCAGCCATGTATGGAGAAAAGACAGGCCACTCATGGCGAGATGCCAGCCATGGATGGAGAAAAGACAGGCCACACATGTATAGAGAGATGCCAGCCATGTATGGAGAAAAGACAGGCCACTCATGGCGAGATGCCAGCCATGGATGGAGAAAAGACAGGCCACACATGTATAGAGAGATGCCAGCCATGTATGGAGAAAAGACAGGCCACTCATGGCGAGATGCCAGCCATGGATGGAGAAAAGACAGGCCACACATGTATAGAGAGATGCCAGCCATGTATGGAGAAAAGACAGGCCACTCATGGCGAGATGCCAGCCATGGATGGAGAAAAGACAGGCCACACATGTATAGAGAGATGCCAGCCATGTATGGAGAAAAGACAGGCCACTCATGGCGAGATGCCAGCCATGGATGGAGAAAAGACAGGCCACACATGTATAGAGAGATGCCAGCCATGTATGGAGAAAAGACAGGCCACTCATGGCGAGATGCCAGCCATGGATGGAGAAAAGACAGGCCACACATGTATAGAGAGATGCCAGCCATGTATGGAGAAAAGACAGGCCACTCATGGCGAGATGCCAGCCATGGATGGAGAAAAGACAGGCCACACATGTATAGAGAGATGCCAGCCATGTATGGAGAAAAGACAGGCCACTCATGGCGAGATGCCAGCCATGTATGGAGAAATGACAGGCCACACATGTATGGAGAGATGGCCAGCCACGTATTGAGAAAAGACAGGCCACACATGTATGGCTAGATGCCAGCCATCTATGGAGAAAAGACAGGCCACACATGTATAGAGAGATGCCAGCCATGTATGGAGAAATGACAGGCCACACATGTATAAAGAGAGGCCACACATGTATAGAGAGATGGCCAAACCAGGGCCTCAGTGCTGCAAGGAGTAGATGCTAACCACTGAATCACGGTGCTGCCCATACATGTATGGCAAGATAGCCAGCTACACATGTATTTGAAAATGACCACCTATACATGTGTACTAATGTGGCCGGCCGTACATGTAGCTGCAATGAGGCCCCAATGGTGAAACTATCTGGAACACTTGCCACCTGATGAGCTGAAATCTTAAGGGGAACTTTTTGTTTCTAGTTTTTGGATGGCGTATGGTAGTGTTTAACCCTTGGCAGTTTATTTTTTCCCCATTATTGCTGTCTGCATCAGGCTGGGGAGAGTGGCCCTCTCTGTCCTGGTGACTATTGCTTCCAGTATGGAGAGTGAAGGTGAAGCAACATTTCAGAGGTGTTACCAGGACAAGTATAGAGGGGACATTTTCCAATGGAGACTCCTGTGTCTGAAGGGATTTTTCCCTTATGTAAGTGAATTGAAACAAAAAAAAAACAGACTAGGGTATTAAAGCCCAACTCTGGATTGGAGGCCGTAAACATGCCTTGGCCTCTGCTGCAAACCTTCATCAATGCTGGTTTACTTGCCTGACTAGTGCAGCTCTCACTGTATTTCCCAGCTGCTGTTCGAAGCTAAAGTGCTTGCTAGCAGTAGATGCAAAAATGGGAGGCTTTAATTATCCTTTAACCCTTGCAGTGGGGCTATCCTTGTGCTGCAAGGGTTAACTGCTCATATTTGTCTGGGTTAAAAAATAAAGTTATACACACCGGATCCCCAAAGCTGGCTTGCTCTTAGACCGGTCCCTTCCGCCTCACTTCCCCTGCGCTGCAGCGGTGTAAGTTCCCTTAGTCACTACGTTCTATATAGGACGTGCTTGCACTCTATTCACCATGGTTATCACTGTGCTTCTTGCCTGATGAAGGGACCATGCTAGGTTCCGAAACGTTGCTTTCTACTTGTGATGCCATGTGTATCTGACGTCAATAAAAGGACAGATTGATGCATTGGAACAAGGTGTGTGGGTGGATACTTCTTTTACATAGAGGATGTGATGACACCGAGGAAAATGCATACATCACTGCAGTGGAGAAGGGACCGGTCTAAGAGCAAACCGCCTCAGAGGATTGGGTGTGTATAACTTTGTTACTTTTAAACCTAGACAAAAATGAGCAGTTAACCCTTGCAATGTGAAGGTGGCCCCACTGCATGGGTTAAAAAGAATTTCCCTGGAGTTCTGCTTTAACAGATCTAACACATACTTTGGAGCTGATCTAATTGGATGTGACTCAAAAATAGTGATTAAGTTAAATCGATTATGCCGATTAGTTGTTGCAGCCCTACTACTCACCAAATGTTCCTGCAGTGGAGCCTGAATGGCCCCCAACGCTTGCCTTTCCTCTAGTCTGAGTGGTGCTTGCAAAAGGCAAGGTACTGCTACACTCTTTTATGTAAGTGAATTTAAAGCTGAACGCCAGGCAGCTCCATATTCATTAATCCATTAAAATACATTTCATAGAGAAGAACTCCCAGCAGAATACAAATTAACCCTTGCAGTGGGGTACCCCCCTCACTGCAAGGGTTAAAGTGACATTAAACCCTCATTTTTTAACATAAACCAATACTGTAATGTGCACCTTACTGTAATCCATGGTTGTTTCCCTTCTCTTTGCTGCTCTTCCTTTTAAATCCTCACATGTTTTGGTCCTGGGAGGAAAATAAAAAAGACACTCATTCCATCCTTGGTCCCGTGGCGGCGACCGCTGACCTCTCTTCCCCCTGCTCTGGCAAGTGAATGGACGTGGAGATGTCATGAGACTGCGGGCACCAGTCTAGCAACTTGGAGATCAGGTGAGTATTTTAACACCCTAGACGAAAATGAGCAGCTAACCCTTGCAGTGTGGGGGGTAGCTACACTGCACGGGTTAATTTTTATTCTGCCCGGGTTTCTTTAAATGCTGGCAATGTATGTACCCATGTTTTTGATGTGGTGTTTTTATTCGGGGATATTTTATTACAAAGTTGCATAATCTTAGGAGCCAGGTAGCCCACGTTCCTGATCTATTAAGTCACTGCTGGGCTTTTTGGTTGCAGAAAAAGAAACCCTTCCGAGTTGTCAAGAGATAATTTGATCAAACAATGGTTTGTTCACCTTTTTGTTCTTCTAACATGGGCATGTGTGTAGTCATGAAGTATACCATGAGCACAACCACATGTTCGTGCCAAGGATGAGAGTTTGTTGCTATTTAGATGACATGATCAGATGACATGATTATAACCGCTTGCTGAGGATGACCCATTTTGTACAGTCTAGATAGTTATTCCTGCAAACTCATTAATATTAATTAAAGTATTAGAACCAATTTAATTAAATTGCGGCGCTAGTGTGAAAACAGGAGCAGGACAATATGTTCTTAAAGTAATGCACATGACGTTGTGTATTTTTATTCAGTCTGGGTTTGCAATAAATATGTTAAACGGGTGAGAGATTTTCAAAGAAGGCATCTACAAATAGTCCGTTTTTTTACTACGGGCGGACGGCAAGAGGTTAATGTCGCTTTAAAGTGATATATATACTGTTGGAAAAAAAAGTGCATGTGCTAAATCTCGATCTTTTTTTTCTTTACTAGAAAGATTTACATAACTGTTCTAAAATGCAACTGTAGTCCTCAACAACAAATCAGAATGTTTCCAAAACACTCAAAGGATTGCACCGCTCTTCCACAGCAGAAACTCTACGAGTAAGCCCAGGATTAGGTGAAATGCAGGACTTTGTGTAACTGAGTGACCTTCAATAAAGAGGTTTCCAGCAACATATAGAATGCGTCCGGATGTTTAATTGTTTTAAAACACATACGATTGCTTCAGTTGTGTTACTGAACCTTAGTGTTGGATTTGGACAACTAGTTTACGTTTTCTCCAGTTTAATATGTTCATTTCATATTTCGGCAATCCAATGTTTTTCTTTTCCAGTTATTTTCTTCACTTCTGCTCCAGTTTCTTTCCTGCATCACCCACACCTCAGTCCCTTTCTATTTATGGTAGTAGTGCATGATATTTTATTTAATTTGTGGAGTCTGAACAAGTGAAAAAAATTATCAATTTTTAACTTGCTGTGGTTTGGAATTGTGGAAAGTAGAAATCCGTGTGTGTTTGAAAAATATGAAGTAGAGGAACACAGGTACTAAATGGTGATGGGAGATATTTTGTGGCCAAGATCAGTCCCTTCAAAGCTGCTTTGTAGGAGAGCATGGGCACTACTATTATGTTATAGTACCACTCAGACACTACTTGGCAGATGTGGGTAGTGCGTACCTATACTCTCACAACATCAAAGTTCATGTTGCTTTAAGACTGGGACCCTAGGGGAATCTTAAGGTGTGCTGTGTTCTTTACTCTTACGAGTGGAATATACTAGTGGGCATAGTGCTTTTAGCTGAAGTACATGTTTTGGATGGAGGGGTAGGGTACTGTATACAATACTGCATAGTAAGGTTTGTCTTTGTCTTTTTCTAGGGCATGGAGAGATAAATGGTACTACAGGTGATCGTCACAACCCTACAAGGATCCTGGGTTCTGAGAAATCCGCAAGCCAGACTGCCACCAGGGTTACGAACGGCAGCCAGCAGATCACTGCCGACCTTAACACCAATTCTAGGCACCTGGCTAAGACTAATAATTTTGGCAAAACGAGTAACAAGACTAAAACTTTGCTCCAAAAAAACAGTATGGACAAAAAGAATGAAAAGACTTATGAAAGCAAACCTAAAGATATCAAATGCACAGAGAAAGTGGAGGCTGGGCTTATTCAAAACGGTTTGCTTTCAAATAACTCTGGTTTTATAACGAATGGCTATGTGAGCAAAGGTGCAGATAATGATGGCAGTGGATCTGAGAGTGGATATGCCACACCCAAAAAAAGGAAAGCCAAGTGTACCAATGCCAAGCCTGCTGAGAGCTCCAACCTTCTGACTGGCAAAATGTCAGACTCTGATATGAAGCTGGATTCTGAAAATGTCAAATCTGAGGGTTTTGCAGAGCAGAAGGGAGTGGCTGGACTGGACAATGGTAAAGCCTCTTGGAAATGTGAGTCTGGATCTACAGGCACCGGTCGGGGAAAACCAAACTCTGGTGATATACTGAGGAAAAACTCGGATGCCAAACCTATTGCTGGAAAAAAGTTTGATGACCGGCCCAAAGGGAAAGCCTCCCCAGTCACTTCCTCTAAAGAGGACTCCTGGACACTGTTTAAACCACCTCCTGTTTTCCCAGTTGACAATAGTAGTGCTAAAATAGTTCCCAAAATAAGTTATGCAAGCAAAGTTAAAGAAAACCTCAACAAAGCAGCCCAGAACAATCCTGTGTCCTCTTCTTCCCTTCCTTTCTCTTCTCAACCTGGGGAAACTTCAGCTTTGAACTGCGTGTCCCAGGTTCCCATGTCTGCCATGAAGTCTGTATCTACAGTTAACTTTGCCAATGGCCCCCTTTTAGTAGGCGCTGATGGGGGTTTTATGGCTGCTGCTAGTACTGTATCACACACACTGCCTGGGGGAGCAGAGCCTTCATCTCTAGAATCCTCTCTTGCCTCTTCAAATCCCCCTGAACAAAAGAAATCTGGCCTTTTTAAATTTTCTTCAAATATGCAACATGCCCTGCCTGACGTGGTGCAGGGAGAAGCGTCTGGACCGTCAAATCAACACAGCTTGGGAGAAATTTTCCAGAATCAGTGGGGCTTGTCTTTTATAAATGAACCCAGTGTTGGCCCTGAGGCTGGAACAGACAAAACAGAGATTGGGCCAATGGTCTGGGAGCACCCTACCCCACAGGTTTCACAGGGGGCCGAAGTTGTTTCCTCAGGAAATGAGCGCTCAGTTTTCCCTAAGGCCTATGAGCTGGAGAAACGGACTAGCCCTCAAGTTCCCGATGGTGCCATGCTGAAAGCAGCTCATGGGTCAGGGGGAGATGGGACTGTGTTATCTTTAGGACCACAGCATTTAGGAGAGCTGCAAAAGCCTGAAGCTGCTAGCCAGGGTTCATTAGTGTTTCAGTCCAAGGTCTTGGAAATAGAAGTAACTCTTCAGACCTCCCTGAAAAACACTTTACAGACCTCCGCCAAAGATAAGAGGTACCACGGAGATCTTGATTGCAAAGATAGCTGGGGTTCTTTTGACCTGAGGGCTGCTATTATCTATCACACTAAAGGTAAAGATTGTGTCAGATGTTTGGTTCTGTGTTAATACTGGAAACTGTTACATCTATTCAAAGTATTACATTCATGTCAAAGAGTATGGGAAAACTGTCCTGCTAAGCACTACTGTGTACAGAAATGGAATCTAACAAGGGGAAGCATTTGAAAGGAAATGGCTTCTGCTAAGTACAACTTTAAGGCCTGGTTCACACCTGGGCGTTTTACAGTGCGTTCCTACGCTCTGTGAAACGCTCAACATGTGAAAACCAATGATTGCCTATGGGCATGGTTCCCACCTGGGCGTTTTACAGCGCGTAGGAACGCGCTGCAACATGCCCTACTCTCGAAGTACAGGAGCTTCTTTGGGGCATATTTGCCACGCGTATCCATTGAGATACAGCCAGGTAGCCCTCGGAAATGCACGTTTGTCGTGTGTTTTCTAACCGCGAATCGCGGTAAAACGCGTGGCACGAAACGTGCACATTCGATACGCCTAGGTGCGAACCCAGCCTAAGGCCTGGTTCACACCTGGGCGATTTACAGCGCGTTCCTACGCTCTGTAAAACGCTCAACATGTGAAAACCAATGATTGCCTATGGGCATGGTTCCCACCTGGGCGTTTTACAGCGCGTAGGAACGCGCTGCAAAATGCCCTACTCTCAAAGAAGTACAGGAGCTTCTTTGGGGCGTATTTGCCGTATTCAATATTTTGAAGGAGTTGTAAAGTCATCAGCATTGTCATAGGAATACATTCTAGAGTTGTTTGTGATGCAATCAAAGAAAACATGAAAAAAAATCCCTTGTATGTAGTGAGTGCTGCCTTCCGCCTGCCCATCACTTCCAACAACTTCCTGGATTCCCAGTGTGCTTTGCGCCTTAGCTGTAATGCAATCTCGATTCCTCAAGACTGCATATCCCATCATGCATTGCTTCCAGCAAGCAGTGATGATGATGATGCATTGTGGGAAGTGCAGAGGGCAGGCTTAGGGAGAGTTATGACACAAGAAGGTGCATATTCACGGGGCTGAGTGAAATGGTGTCAGTGAAATAAGAAAGTGCATCCTATGGGCATCTTCAATAAGTAAGTTTACAAACTTCTAGGTGGATATGGTTATTAGGAGTGGGATAGAAATTCAATCTAGAAATTTCAGTGTTAGGATCCAGAGCGCCTCTAGGTGGCGCAGGAGCTGAGACCTGCAGCTCCAGTGCTCACCTGCGGGTGTTTCCCAGCTGCCAGTACTTAGCCATCACCTGGTGCTTCCTAGGAGGATATTTAAACCCTCCCTGCAGTCAGGATGATGGCTCAGTATCGTTTCCTGTTTCCTGAAACTTGAACCCTGAGTCCCCAGTTCCGGTGAACCCTGCTTTCCGTCCAGAGTCCTGTTACCAGTCCTGTACCCTGTTTGTGTCCCAAGCCCGGTTACCCATTTTGCAGTCCTAGATACCTCTTGTTGCCATTACCTGCGTGTCCTCCTGTTGCCATTACCTGCTTGTAGTCTGGTTGATGTTACTTATTTATGTTTGCTTTTGGGTGTTGTTTAGTTTTGCTGGTCATTAAACTGTATATAATACATTCTGCCCTGTCCGGTGTGGTCATAAGTGTTTGGTCTGCCTGTGTGGGTACCTGCAAAACTAAACACCCAAAAGCAAACATAAATAAGTAACATCAACCAGACTACAAGCAGGTAATGGCAACAGGAGGACAAGCAGGTAATGGCAACAGGAGGACAAGCAGGTAATGGCAACAGGAGGACAAGCAGGTAATGGCAACAGGAGGACAAGCAGGTAATGGCAACAGGAGGACAAGCAGGTAATGGCAACAGGAGGACAAGCAGGTAATGGCAACAGGAGGACAAGCAGGTAATGGCAACAGGAGGACAAGCAGGTAATGGCAACAGGAGGACAAGCAGGTAATGGCAACAGGAGGACAAGCAGGTAATGGCAACAGGAGGACAGGCAGGTAATGGCAACAGGAGGACAAGCAGGTAATGGCAACAGGAGGACAGGCAGGTAATGGCAACAAGAGGACAAGCAGGTAATGGCAACAGGAGGACACGCAGGTAATGGCAACAAGAGGTATCTGGGACTGCAAAATGGGTAACCGGGCTCGGGAAACAAACAGGGTACAGGACTGGTAACAGGACTCTGGACGGAAAGCAGGGTTCACCGGCACTGGGGACTCAGGGTTCAAGTTTCAGGAAATGATACTGAGCCATCATCCTGACTGCAGGGAGGGTTTAAATATCCTCCCAGGAAGCACCAGGTGATGGCTAAGTACTGGCAGCTGGGAAACACCCGCAGGTGAGCACTGGAGCTGCAGGTCTCAGCTCCTGCGCCACCTAGAGGCGCTCTGGATCCTAACATTCAGATTTATTTGCCTGGAGTTCAGTACAGGCAGTCCGGGGGCTACGAACAAGATAGGGACTGTAAGTTTGTTCTTAAGTTGAATGTGTATATAAGTTGGAACAGGTACGTTTTGTTAAGTGTAAAAAGCCCAAAAATGTTTTTTTTTCCAGTTTTGGATAGCATAGGGAAGGGTTAACCCCCTCTAAAGTTTGTTTTGCTGTGTGTGCCCCCACTCAGATTTCACCTCACCTGTGTGTGTGCCCCTGTGACAATTTGATTTTGAAAATTTTGGGTTGTCCTGGAAACAAGGATTGCTGATAAAGCTTCAATTGAGACACCTTTTCCCATGATCACTCTTACCGGAGTGAATTTCCCTTCCTAGTTGTAGATTTCCTTTCACTTCCTGTTGTCTCAAGGACAGGAAGTGAGATTAAATCTTTCTAATGAGGATACAGACAGCAGTGAAAAACCTCACAGTGACCCTGAAGAAGTGGCGGGCACCCCTCGTCTGCACGTCTAACAAGAGCCACCTTCCTGTAATGTACGTACAGTACTACAAAGCAGACCCCAAAAGGCGCTCACTCCTCGTCGGCCTGAGTGCGGTAGCATTACAACTACCCCTGCTGTACAGCAAGAGCCTCCGTTTGTAAGTAGGAGTCTTATGTAAGTCAGATGTATGTAACCCGGGGACTGCCTGTACATCTTTTAGGTTTAGGTCGTGCCTGCTTTTTAGAATGCCATCTATAGTTCTGGGAAATTTTTTTTTTGCACTTGGATAATATTTACTTTTAATAAAGCTATCAGTCTGATCAACAGTCAGGGCAGTTGATCTTTGATTCTGAGCTAGTGATCACATAGTTTAGGTACTTGTTACATCCATTGCATTATTGCTTTCAGCTCCAAGTTCGTTTTTGTGATAGACTGCGATCTCAATACAAATTAGAATACAATCTCATGTTTAGTTTACTATCACAGGAGTGAGCTTGGAGCGGTGACTACTTTACAACACACAGGGACCATGGGGAACAAAAGCAGCCACCCTCCAGAAGGAAGGACAATGGCAGCACCAATTCAGAGATGGTTTGAGGATCTACAGCTGAGTGATACACAAATAAGATACATTTCTGTTAATAGTAAAGGGACTTAAATGTATTTTTAAGATTTAACTCCTGAGGTTAGTGTCACTTTAGGCCCCGTTCACACCAGGGTGTTTTGTCTCCCATTTTTTTTTCCGCACTGAAATGCATGCAAATTCCCAGTCATTCCTTTTGGGGGCCGTTCACGCAATCGCGCTGAATCGTGGCAAACAATACGCCCGTTGTTTAAAATATTCCATGAGCTGCTTTTGTGGCGCTTATCAGCTCGTTTTGTTCTATAGACCTCAATGGAAATGGGTCTACAAGACCATTTTTTGACTTTTTATCGCTTTTTTGTTTTTTAGCAAGTTTTTTCAGCTGAGACTGCTTTTCATTGGACAACTCTTACATATGAAGAAAAAAAGTGCTGAAATGCTGTCACCCTGGTGTAAATGGGGACTTAATGTCTTAAAAACCACATTCCTGTGTAGGGATCCTGTGTTTGCCCAAGCCTCCACACTACTGTCAGTAACACAAACCTTGTGGCACGTGATGTAATATTTCTCTCAATATGTCCATTGATCTCTTACATTTAAGTGTGGATTGGATGAGTTTTAGTCATTTTTTGCAAGCAGAATTATGATATAATGTTTACAAAAGGATTAATTGGTGGTTGTCCACTGAGGTATTGCTTCCCTTCTTCTGGATAAAATGTAGTGATTGAACAGGTTTTATTTGGACTTTTCAACCACTTTGACTGCATTATGCTGCTGATATAGAAATAGACAGGTATGAATGTAGATGTTTAAGCTTTGTGTTGTCTTGCAGGCACCTTACTAGATCAATCTGCACTTGTTTGTGTACATGAATGTTGGGCTTCTAAATATCAGCCAATCAAACCATGCTTGTGACTTTCTCCCACTTATATAATGTTTACTTCTGTGAAACAATGGTTTAGGGCTGCAACCAACTAATCGATAATGAGAATAGTTGTCAACTATTCTCATTATTGATTAGTTGGTTGGATCCCATAGCTCTCTCCTCCATGCTTGGAGTAGGGCACAGCATGCAGTGGGGCGGGTGCAATAGCCAGCCTGCTATCGGCTATTGCAATTTGAAATGGCCAATAGCAGGCTGCCGATTGCACCAGCCTACTACCTGCTGTATCTACATGTAGCTGCCGTCTGCAGAATCTTGCCACTGGCAGCTGTCATTTCCTGGCTGAAGCTATTCAAGTGCCATGTGCTTACATTACAAATTTTATAAAAAGGTGGGAAAATTTTTGTCTACCAGCAACAGTGATTGCCCACGCTTGAACGCACGGTACCACAATGTGCGATTGCAAAAAAATGTGCATACAGTTTTATTCTGAAGTAAACTTTGTAACACCGCATTTGTGTATTTTATTTTAAATTAAGAGAAAAAATATCTGCCACCTAAGCGATGAGGAAAATAATCATTAGTTGCAGTCCTACTCTGGTTATACATGTTTGTTCTTTCCTGCTGCTCTGCGGTGATCCCTACAATTGGCAAACATATTCAGAAAATGTTCCCTATATCTGGAAGGATTGTCGATTTTTCTTCTGGCTCTTGTGGAGGAGCTTGGGAACAGTAACTAAATGTTTATTCGGGTCCCCACAGTGAAGTGAACATGTCAGTTTGTCCAGCTAGATCAAAGTTCAGTTTCATTTTGTCTGCATTCTGCTGGTTGGTGATATGGTTGCTGGCCTCTGAATACATTGTTTCCATCTGTGGAATGCAGCCAGTCCCGGAACAAAGTTCATGTAACCATCTTTTATGTCATTGTGCCACTATCTTTTCTACGTCTAGTTCAAGTGGCAGTAAAGGTGACCTTTTCATAAAGGATTTGTTTTATAATACGCTGTGTTGCGATCTCCTTTGCCTATTGACAGGAATAATTACCTTTTGCCACATGTTGCTTTGCGGTTTCATGTGGAGAGGAAATCATTGTCAGAAGGAATATCCTTCCTGAGTAGCTTGGTATTTTCTCTTTCCTCATTCCAGCATCCTGACCCGTGTTCTTATTTTTTGTTTTCTTTACAGAAATGGAATCTATTTTGAACTTGCAAAAACAAGGTAAGGAGCGTTGTTAAAAATAAAATGTAAATGACTATTTGCCTAAGATCGCTTTCTCTCTCTCATGTTAAAGTAGCACTCCAAGCAAAACTTTGTTCACTCATTTTCAAGCATGACAGAATTTAAAGTTCTGAATAGTTCTTATTGCCCAGATGGTCATTGTGACTGGTATAGAAAGTTAAGTGAAATATCATTTCAACTATACTAACAATACAACTCAGGGGTGTGGAATTCGTATCGCCCGACGCCCGGGACATGTAGTTTCCCGGGCGCTGGGCAAGTGGTTTTAGCCCTGGTACGGACAAGTAGCAGGGCTGGTATTCTTTTAGCGCCGGGAGCGGCGCTGCGAGCGGGGGGCGGGGACAGAGCGCTGGGAACGGAGACCTGTCACCTCCAAATGCTATCACACAGGGGATTATTATTCCCTGTGTGATAGCAATACAGTGAAGTTTTTAAAAAAAATTGTGAAAAAGTAAAAAATAAAAATGTAAAAAATAAAAAGGCGCTTAAGTAAAAATAATAAAACAAAGTTTTTTTACAAAGTAAATAAAAATAGAAAAAATTAAAACCAGCACCACTGCCCCCATCTGCATGCGAATAAACGTGCAGTGTTTTCAACTGCAATCGTGTGCAACCGCACAGGCAGGGCTGTATTGCAGCAGGAAAACGCGCAATTTGCCTGGCATAACTGGGGTGCCATTCGAAAATAATGGCACTGCCAGCGCGATCGGCAGTGGTGTGCGATCCGTGACTGCACGGTCATCGTGCACGAAACCGAGCGTATGGCTGGGTGGTCATGGAATCGCACACCACCGCCGATCGTGCTGTCAATGCCATTATTTTCTTATGGCACCCCAGTCGTGCCAGGCAGATTGCGCGTTTTCCTGCTGCAATACCGCCCGGGCGATCCCACAAGATCACGGTTGAAAAGACTGCGCGGTGCATGTCGTGAAAATAGGTACATGTACCTTTTTTTTTTTTTTTCAGCGATTGCCACGCAGATGCAACCCCATACATGCGGATGCAACCGCTGAATGCAACCGCATACAATCGCACGTCCTGGGAATCCCCAAGTCTGCACCAACCCTAAAGGGTAATTTGGGAAAATGGAATTACCCGCACAAATCTCCCTCCCACTATACTTACCTTTCAGCAAACGGTCCTTCCCGTCCACCAGTACGGGTGTACTATCTGTACCTGTTCCATGTATTCTGAATTTCGCTCGCAAATTGCATGCACTCGTTGGTCAACGCGGTCACCTGACGGCACTGACCAATGAGAAGTGCTTCTTTTTGGTTACAATAATTTTTTTTGTATCAGGACAAGTAGATTGTCATGAGGGACAAGTAGATTCGGCCCCGCTTTAGTCCTTGGACAAGTAGTTTTTTCCAAAATTTCCACACCCCTGCAACTATATTAACATTTTATAGTTGTAACTGGAACAGGAGTACAGAGGAAACGTCCCAGTTTCAACGTATTTCCATGTCTTCAAGACTGGAAATGAAAACTCCACAATGAGAACTTGACAGAGGTTATAATGTTTACATACTGTATACAAAATGAATACATTTTAGCTGGCCTTCCATTCTAATTGGCTCAATTTTACCAGCTTTCTACTTGAACATGTTTTAAAGAACATTCCCAGTTTATCAGCGGTCACAGAAGCCCATACAAAATTGTGACTGACACCCCAGTTGCGGCAGAGGCATTCCCTGCCCCTTTGTAACGTGTAGCTGTGGGACAGGCAGGCAATGTCCCAGATGCAACTGATTTGCCCAGAAGAGGGGCATAGTTTTGGGTGTACTTTGTTTATTAAATCTTTATTCAATTTTTGACAACAAATTTTACAACCATTTCATACGAAGTTAACATTTATCCATTCATCCCATACCACCCCAACCCATCCTATCCCCCCTCCATCTCTCCCCTTTCCCCAATATAGACCTCTTCGGCCACTCTAAGGACAAGGCGCGGGACAGTGTTCTAGTGATCTGACCCCCACTCCCCCCCCTTCTACCCCCTCAAAAAAAAAAGTATTTATTATACGTGGAAGGGATACCTCTGAGTCTCAGGTTATTCCGTCGATTTCTATTTTCCTGATCCTCAGCTTTGTATGCTATCATTCTCATACCCTTCTCCATGTACCTGCACTGAACTTGTAGTTCCTGAATCGTTTTGGTGTGCACATCTAGCCTTTCTTCCGTGTCCTCCACCCTTTTTAGTACTTGGGACATCTCAGTTCTAATTGTGGTCAGGTCTGCTTTGATTGAGGCTTCCATGTGTCCCAGTAACTTAGTAAGGTCCTCTTTTGTGGGTAGGGATTGGGCTAGTGTACGCAGCGATAGTGCGGTACCTTGGTGGGAATCGTCCGAGGCCCCCGAAAGTGCTGGTGAGTCGTTCATCCGTGTCTCCTGCTGTTCGGTCTCCGCGGTGTCCTGGGGACGTCGCCTCGTCAGCTGATGGTGCAGCCTCTCCTCCTTCCTGTGTGCCGCTTCCCTGTGACGTTAGTTTCGGCGCCCAGAGCCGTCTAATTGCTCCTACTCGCGGGCCTTTGGTGGCGTTTTTCTTCTGGGCTCTCCTGCCCCCCATCGCTTAATCGTAAGTCCAGACTCCTTGGTCCCGTCACCCCCACCAAGTCAGAGTACCGGGTCAGCAGGCGGCTTAGTCGGCAGCACTGCTCTGCTCCTGTGGGTTCCTGTTCACCTGGCCTGGGAGGGAGCACTTGGATGTCTCAGCTACTCACTGCTCAGCGCCATCTTGAGCAGGCTCCACCCCCCTCATGAACCTCTCCGTTTTGGGTGTACTTTGGTGAACTGGCGTCGCACCAAGCCCCCACACTTCAGTAGTGCAGATCAATGCAGCAGTGGTGTGCTTGAGCCCTAAAAGATGCCCTTTTTTTTTTTTGCACAACCAACAGCTTCTGTTGGTTCCCATGTTTATGTCACTGCTTTCTACAAACTGGCTAAATACTGACATCTTGTTTAGTCATATCCTGTGTATGAACAAATTTACAACTGTAGTTAACTTAAAAAGTAATTATACATTCTAACTCCCTCCGTTCTGCTGAGTGTTTTTGCAGTAGGTTATACTCTAAACACCATCTCCACGGTGTGACTCTTCTGGCACTTTACAGTCTATACTGTGACACCAAACACCATTAACTTTAGTGGAAAGTCCATCTTCTGCTTTCCAGTGACCTCCAGTGGGGTTTAGACTGGCAAGCATGAGGGACTTCAGTGGGGTTTGGACTGGCAAGCATGAGGGGCTTCAGTGGGGTTTGGGCTGGCAAGCATAAGGGACTTCAGTGGGGTTCGGACTGGCAAGCATGAGGCACTTCAGTGGGGTTTGGACTGGCAAGCATGAGGGACTTCAGTGGGGTTTGGACTGGCAACCATGAGGGACTTCAGTGGGGTTTGGACTGGCAACCATGAGGGACTTCAGTGGGGTTTGGACTGGCAAGCATGAGGGACTTCAGTGAGGTTTTGACTGGCAAGCATGAGGGACTTCAGTGGGGTTTGGACTGGCAAGCATGAGGGGCTTCAGTGGGGTTTGGGCTGGCAAGCATAAGGGACTTCAGTGGGGTTCGGACTGGCAAGCATGAGGCACTTCAGTGGGGTTTGGACTGGCAACCATGAGGGACTTCAGTGGGGTTTGGACTGGCAAGCATGAGGGACTTCAGTGAGGTTTTGACTGGCAAGCATGAGGGACTTCAGTGCGTTTTGGACTGGCAAGCATGAGTGACTTTAGTGGGGTTTGGACTGGCAAGCATGAGGGACTTTAGTGGGGTTTGGACTGGCAAGCATGAGTGACTTTAGTGGGGTTTGGACTGGCAAGCATGAGTGACTTCAGTGGGGTTTGGACTGGCAAGCATGAGGGACTTCAGTGGGGTTTGGACTGGCAAGCATGAGGGGCTTCAGTGGGGTTTGGGCTGGCAAGCATAAGGGACTTCAGTGGGGTTCGGACTGGCAAGCATGAGGCACTTCAGTGGGGTTTGGACTGGCAAGCATGAGGGACTTCAGTGGGGTTTGGACTGGCAACCATGAGGGACTTCAGTGGGGTTTGGACTGGCAACCATGAGGGACTTCAGTGGGGTTTGGACTGGCAAGCATGAGGGACTTCAGTGAGGTTTTGACTGGCAAGCATGAGGGACTTCAGTGCGTTTTGGACTGGCAAGCATGAGTGACTTTAGTGGGGTTTGGACTGGCAAGCATGAGGGACTTCAGTGGGGTTTGGACTGGCAAGCATGAGTGCCACACTAAATGACTAGGAAGATTAAGCAAAGCTGCACAGTACAGTGGTATGCCATACATTGAAGATCTATGTTGAGTTTTGTTCTATCCAAGTATAACCTATTGCATAGATGTTCAGCACTCAGAATGTAATAATGCATACAAATCAGTCAGATACATCACCATTATTGCGAATACTTTTCACAATATAATCTATATATGCTCAGCAATGCATTAAAGTAGAACTGTGAGGTGAGTGCTTTTCACTCACCTCATAGTTCTAGCCGACCTGTGACAATGAGACTGTCACAGGTCGGCTCAGTACATCGGAAAATCTAAACAAAAGTACTCTTATGCTTTTAAGTATACCACAGCAGCTACGTACTTTGGCTACACACATGAATACATACTATAAAAATGTATCTCCCTACAACTTGGTTTTGGCAGGCATCTAGTCCCAGAGCGCTCCTCTGCCGTGCACGTTTTAAAGAAATTGACCCTATGGAGTATTGTTTGGGTTTTGTGACCATGCAGCACACTGCACAAATGTACCCAGGGATTGAAAGCGTGCCTTGGCCAGGAGCAAGCTGCAGGGAACCAATTTTTTTTCCAGCAGTAACTAGTAGCTTTATGCATTATTGATGGCAACCTCAGTGGAAAGTGTAATTTACAGCTTTACGCTGGTTTCCCAGTACAACACAGTGGATATTTGTGGAATTAAATCGGCCCCTGGTCTACTTTCTCGTGACATTTTAGCTCCGCACTTCTTGACACTGCTTGATCACCAATAGTCAGTGAAAATGGAAGTTTTATGTTTGACAAGCGTTACTGATTTCTTACAAAAAAGTTGAATTGATTTTATTTTGTGTTTCTCTTGCAGATCCCAGTAGGATAATCACTTATAATGAAGCCATGGACCACCCTGATCTCTGAGACTACTGCCTTGGGATTGCTGGCTTTTTTTCCTAAGTCATTTCATCAGTGCATGAGAGACCGTGCCTGGCGATCATGCCCCTTTCTTTAATGTTGCGTGTAACCGCAAAGGAGAGAAAATAAACATAAAAGGAACCTAAGTAGAATCGGAACATACTTTAAAACATACGTTATTTCCATTTTTTGCCCCAATCAACTTTAAAGAGAACTAAGTGAATAAAGTTGACCAGTATCTTGGCAGACCTGCTCTTGCAATTGGGATAACTTATGCGGAGTCTCTTGAAGAAGAAAAAAAATAATGCTTATCTGCTTAATTTGCCAACAACCAGAGAGGAGAATTTTTGAGAATGTTTGAGGAGAATTTCCACAGCCACAGTCTTATACTTCACTCTATGTGTCTTTATGTTACTGGCTTCTACATACAACACTTATCCCTGCTTAAAAAATATTGAAAAAAAATAAAAAAAGAACACATTTTTAGGTTTGAAAATGACAGTTTATATATAATTTTTTTTTAAATTACTGCTTTTCTGTTTTCTTCTGAGACTTCAAAAGTAACGACTATAAAAGGGGGGGAAAAAGCTGTCTTAAACACAATTTTTCACTATTTTTTGGAACTGGAGACGCACTTTTTGAATTCTGGAAACAAACAAAAAAAAATTCGGACAAGCAGGTTTCTTAAGTTTGACCGTTCGGAATTTGTCCCACCCTTTGAAGACTGGTAAACAGAAATGCTTTAAACGTAAAGAACAAAAGCAAAAAAAAAAAAATAGATTTAAAAAAAAAATAGCGAACGCAAAATAAAGTAATCTATTTAGGCATTTAATATATTTAAAAGATATATAAAGAGTAAAATCTGTTCCCTGTTTGATGTCATTGTATAAAAGGGGAGCAAGTTGAGTGAGGCAGCTCTGCACTTTGGCTGCTTCATCCCACTGTGTGTTGTTAATATCTATGTTTTGATTTAGTTTTCTGCTTTTATGTTTCCCTGGGTTTAATGGATAGCAACCAACTGCAGTTGAACATCAACTCGCAACATTTGTGGCTTGGACAGTGGGTTTCATTTTAATTTTTTTTCTTTTTCAACTGTATGCTTCAAATGTCTTGATATTATTTTTCTAAAAACGTTGGCAGTACGCCCTTCACATGAGGGACAATACTGGAAGCAGGACTTGAGCAATAAAGGTATTGACCCTTTCTTTTCGAGTGGCCTGTTGTGCGTTGGTTACTAGAAGAGTTGTAATAGAATGGGTGCAGGTTCAGAAATACCTTTTTTTTTTTTTTTTGCCTTTAATAAGGCAGTTTTGCTTTAGAACTGTTGCTTTGTCTTTGGGCAGTGTCCTTGCCTGTTTTGCTTTGTTGTCTTGATCAGCCTCGCAGAGCACCCTGGGATTGCACAGAGCTGGGCTTCTATGCAAGCAATAGTTGTGAGTGCCTCTGCAAATGAAACGCAAGATGTCTTTTGGAATTGAATGGTGCTATATACATAGAATATTTCTCTTGGTTGCATGAAGTCCCCTAAACACCAGTTGTAGAGATAATGCTGTGTACCAGTTTACTGTTGGGTGGATCAGGTGACCAGGTTAAAGTGTAGCTCTGCTTTTTTTGCACTTTTGATAAGAGAAGCATTGTAGAACAGGACAGTGATGTAGCAAATAGAAACAAGATTTGAGAGACTATCCCTCACCTGTGGTTTTCTTATGTGGACTTTTAAGTATCCATTTTTCCCAATTGGAAGTGTTCACATTTCACCAGTAGCTGTGTTGTGTGGCTGCAGCAGTCTACCCTTTAGTGGACCTGTCTCTAAGCTATGGACATTCAAATATTTACATATTCTTAAAGCTCATTGCCACCTTTTTGGGAGGTAAGTTTAAAAAACATATGCCCAGCAATGTACACCGAGTGTACATGAAGCAGACATATGCAATTGCTTAATTGCTGTATATGAACACAAAAACTTACTTTTTCTGTCCTCTTCATCTTCTCATAACTCTTTGAAATAGCCGCCTCTGTGTGCTTTGCAAGCAGTCAATATAAATTAAAGATGCCCATACACCTTACGATTATCGTACTATAATCGTATGCGATCGACTTTTTGTACGACAATCGTAACGTGGGAACGTAGTGCCCGACCGATAGTACTGTACAGTCGTATGACTTTTGACAGTCAAGCATGTTTGAAAACTTTGGTCGATCGTACGATGTTCGCAAGGTTGGTGGTGTTTCCGTCCGTCAAAAGTCGTACGATTAACACTACTGCACATCTACATTAACACAATAAATGCTAATCACTTACAAAGGTGGAAATGGGCTTTAAGCATAATGAGTTTTAAAACATGCCCCTGCTGACCTATATAGCTCCAGGCACTCTGGAGCAATTCATCCTCGAATATTACAAACCGGGTACTGAAATTGCAGCTCATCTTCCTTTAGCAGGCTTGGGAGCCTTCTAATGTTAACAAAGAGTGGCTGTTGTACGCTGTTGCTGCTGCTGGACTTCAGTCTCAATTGAGTTCTTTGAGAATTAATTACTCCACGGTGCCGGTGTCTACAGACATCAATGAGAGTTTGTTTTACAGCTCATTTACTGCTAGTTTAGGTTGTGCAAATAATGTCCATAGTCTGGGCACATGAGCACTTTAACATGTTATGGAGTGTCCATTTAACCTAACGGGATGTGTTCAAATTTCGTCCGTAGTCATATAATGAGACTACAGCAGTCTACACTTAAAAGGAAATCTGAAAGCTGCCAATGCTGACCACTCTTTCTGCACATATTATTTGCCTGGTTGTCATGCGGGTTCTTTTAGTCACTGATCTAGAATTAGTAATGCAGGGAAATGCTTTGACGTTTCTGATATGCATACTTGATGACTCAAAAGATACTGAACCTAGTGGCGTCATCATAACAGCCACATAATTAGCATTTTATAGAACATCAGTAAAAGCTGCCACAATATTTCTTAGGACAGGTTTACATTAACATAAAATAAATGTATTACATTGGACTTGGCCTAAGGATATATTTTTATGTTTAGCCCATGCAGGCTAAGTAATGTGTAATTGTAACACTTACAGTTAGAACTCCCTCTATCAGATATCAGAGCAGATATCTATCTGATATCTGCTTATCAGTCAGCGTCTGCTTCCTGCACTGAGATGCCGACTCACAGATATTCTAATCTTGGTGCGGAGCATTTCCCCCATTTATTAGTATTCGTAGTGGCCTGGTCACAATACACTGTCCTCCATAGTCGC